AACATGAGCAATTATGGGGAGAAAAAAAGGGAACCGGTGGAATTTGAACCTTGACATCCTAAAATGAGATATCTTTTAACAATATTTTTTGACGAATCTTTTAACAATATTTAAGTAGTCATTTTTTTAGACCACTTAAGGCTTCTCCAGATACGCCCTTTGTCTTTGGTATTCCCACTCAGGTTTTTTTTATTTTTTTCGGTCTATAAATTTTGGCGGACCCTTAATCCCCATAAGTTAGCAGCTATGGATCCCACCCACTGAGCCTGGTGTCTGGAGACGGTCACGGTGATGTCCAAATCGTGGAAGAGACGTATCGTCCAAAGGTGAACACTGAAAAATCTGTGCTGCTTCCACTAGATACATGCTTCAAAAGCTTTTGTTCTTTCTACTCCCATCCTCCAGATAACCATTATTTCTTTCTTTAATCAGTCCAAAATCTTCTTCCCGTGACAACAAACAAGAAGAGTACCAAAACAAAACCTCCGCCACAGTTACTCTCCGTACTGATTATGTGAGGATCACTAAAATGGTCACAATTTTATTTTAATTTAATTATTAAAATAAGTAATAATTAATAAAAAAAATTAATATTTATTATTTAATAAATTAAAAATAATTTTTAAATATATATTTTTAAATATTAAAATTAATTGTTTAATAAAAAATTATAAATTAATAAAATTATTAATTTTAACAAAACTAATAGTTATCATAACCTCATGCCAAATTCTTCCCAGTCCAATTCCTTCCAAATTGAAAGAATGTCTTTCGGGAACTTTAAACTGGATTCCCCCTGATTCTCCATCATTTCCAACAATTAAAAACACTTAGGAGCATGTACATTTCATATTCAACTTGCAAACCATCAATCATCACCATGCAGGACTCTTGTAAGTTTAACTATAAAGACAGCAGCAGGCTGAGCTGAGTCTGGGGACAACTATACATAAATTACATACAAGAAAGTCGGTTGCTAAACGAATTGAATTGTTGGACACAGCTTACTTCAGAAGAAGCAATAGAATAGAAGTCAATGATATAGAATGGGAGTTCAGTTTGCTAATGCCTTACGCTGACCAACTCGATATCAAATATTAGAGTACCCAGTGTTGAGCCTTCTCCGTTTGCAAGACGAGTGGGATTGAAAATGGTAGTAAACAACCTCTGCCTGTCAAAGAACTATATACAAAGTATAAGGTGAGAGATCATTCATAAAATAGCATCAGAGAATAGAAAAAAAATGGCAATGAGAAAAAAGGGATTTCTTTTCTCCATTTTCAACAAGTCCATTTAGCCAATTATAAATTACTGAATGCTTTTCATTTCTCTATTCTCCAAGCAGATTATCAATGAATTTTGACCCAGAGAAGGTCTTTGTTAAATGATCAAGAAGATGAACCTATTTGTTTAGCTTTATAGATTGACCATCTTATCTCCCCTTTCCTGATATCATTTTTGATAGCTTCTACTGCAATTCTAGAGAACACAAAAATACTTGAAGAGATTCCACTTAAACCTATTCCCGCCCAATATCAATCTACCGTGAAATAGGACAAGAAACATGTAATCTAATTTGGCCTTCTCCCCACTGTAATGAATGTTTAACTTCAATCAAATATGATGGGAGTAAATTTTGAAGGTTTATAATGAGGCCCTGAAAGATTGTAACAAGTAACGGGATCTCTGAGAAATTGTGCTAATAATTTCCTGCAAGGCTGCTGGATTAAGTCTTTGGATGTTCACATTATGCATGAAGAAAGAACAAATAGCTGAAATAGGGAAGTAGTGGTTTTTTTTTTTTTTCATACTGAAGGTCGTGAAGTAGTGTTTTTCCACTTAGCAGATGAAGAGAAGAATTAATATATGGTATAAATTAAATGATGATATAAACTAATAGAGAAATTGACAAGAAAGAAAATGCCTACATTAGGAGGTACAGGTTCCTGAGAAGTGTTCTGGTATCCTTGCGAAGGAGGAATGATGACTCGACGAGTACCTCCAACTTTCATTGATCTGACAGCTGCTTCAATTCCAGAAATCACCTACAAATAAAAAACTCACTTTGATTTTTATCCGAAATGTGAGCATAATCTATAAAGGAAAGGCAAAGAACCACAACAAACACCATCTGTCACCAATACAAGATTCGTAATTGATAGTCTTAACTACTACTAATTAGGACCACTGCTAGAGGGAATCATATCAAAATGTCCAAAGTTCATTAGTTTAGCAGATTTGAGGCCAAAGTTCAACCATCAATTAGTACTCAAAAGCAGTTCATTGTTAAGTCTTAAACAAAAAACAATGCCAGCAGGGATTAACTTCAAGTAGAGAGAAACAAAGAAATGCAGCTTAGTAAGAACAATATAACCATTCAATGGATCAAACTCAAAGTTTCAATCTTCAAAGAGGGCAAAAACACCGATTTGACCATTTTGAGTTAAATTGATGAAGCTAAAGAAACAAATTAAAACAAGTCAAAATTCCATTACTATATATCCCCAACAGGCAACATGAAGGTATTTATATAGACATTAGGATAAAATACATGCTGCAATCCTAAATACACCAGTGAAGACTGAATTTTAACTTAATGGCAGTTACTGGATAACAAAAGAAGATCAAATCAAACAGCTGAATACTGTTCAAATCCTCAAACATGTTGCAGTTTTCCGGCCATGGCATCCAATATAAATTAAGCAATAAGCACCAAAAGCAAGATATTGGAACTCACTTTCCTAGACCCAAGCGTGAATACAAAAGGAATTGGGTCCCCGCTGCTATCTTTGTGATCATAGGTGGAATCAAATCTCCATCCTTGTTTTGCTGCCAGCCTTCCATAGTAATGTATTGCAACCTTTATATATATTCACAATCAAAAGCATGATACTAAGATGCAATTCTTCATCTTTATTCAAAACAATCTTCATGTTTTTAAAAAATAAAAACAAAAATTCTTGCTTGTGAGAGAAAGAGATGACCTGGTCTCCGTCGTCGGGAGTTGCACCAGTACCAAGGCGGAGGTCCAAGGCCTTGACGCCACCGGAGTTTGGGAGTTCAAAGAAGTCGGTGCTGACGGCGGACTTGGAAGGAGGAGCGGGGAGTAAGATAGAACAAGTGGCGGTTGTGATAGACAGTAATAAGATTTCTCTTCTTCTGGATATCGCCGTTGAAGAAGAGGAAGAAGAAGACGAGGAAGGACAGGTTGCAGAGACGAACGGCGAGGATGGCGATTTCGTGAGGGTGCGATGGAGGGTGTGATGATGAGGTTCATGGAGGTATGGTGCTGAGGCGAAGCACTGAATCAGCATATCTTCTTTGACCCGCACTCCGGAGCCCGGACCCAGCTTCCCGAATCCCAAGAAAAAATAATTTTAACTCGTACGTAAATAAATCGAAAAAGTCGGTCACTTTTCCACCAAAAAAGGAAAAAGTCGGTCACTTGTCGACCTCAAAACGCGCCGTCTGTGGGAATCGAACCCACGACCACGTGGTTAAAAGCCACGCGCTCTACCGGCTGAGCTAAGACGGCTATTCAAGCAATGTTTTATAATAAAAATAAAAATATGTTAGAACTTCATGTTTACGGTAATTATTAAATCAGTATATCTAAACTAAGATAATCATATTCAATCTAATTCAATTGACTTTACTTAAATTGATCCAATCTAATAAAAAATTGAATCAAATCAATATAAAATTAAGTTAATTTAGATAATAAAATTTTAAAATCAATATAATTGGTTTAGTTTATAATTTTACCTTCAAACTATCCAAACCGCACAATTACAAAATAAAATTCGATTACATAATAATTTAATTAAATAATATAGTATATTTTTTTTGTAATATTTTAAATTTTGTCTTATTTTATAAGATGATAAATCTATTAGCTTAATTTAAAAATAAAATAAAATATCCCTATATTCTTTAATTTATTTTTTTTTTTAAATTGTGCACTTTAACTTTAATTCTAAATTTTCAATTTACTTACAACTCTATCTCTTATAATTAGTTTATGACTCTATTTTGAGAATTCTAAATTTTTAATTTTTTTTAAAATAATATTATAATTCTCCTAACTAAATTTTAAAAAATATCATTTTAGAA